TAATAATAACAATAATAATAATAATAATAATAACAAAAACATTTATGCTATATAAGGGTCAATTTTCTTTGAAAGAGTGCACGTCGCCCACCCATAGCTTTAAACCAATTGTATCCAAGGTTGGGAAAAGGAGGACTTATAAACGTTTCGGTCACGTCTTTAAAATAAAGGTAGATCTCACACATKGTGTACACAAATCAGGGCATCCATTTTAAATGTTTCAGCCTCTGCCACACTAGATTTTACATTATTATATGTAAAACTGACTGAATTAAAACTATTTTCATGTTCTCTAAGCTGAGGTGGCCATCCTAACTCGATCAGTCTAACAGTAAACTAGTAGTAACTAATAATAAACAGTTGAAGATGTTCATCCAGTGATTACTTTATAAAAGCTTCATTCAAATCCATTCTGTGTTTCATGAGATATTTTGACAAAAGTCAAACATGGTTGACTTCAACAGTTAAAACCTTCAGACAAAGATTTTAAATAATATTTAGTGCTTGAAGTTGTTGAGTTTGTGGAAGGATTAGACCTTGAGTAAAGACGTAAAAAAATAAAACTTTTCTTTAATATAAAAGGGTTGTGACGTGTGTGGTGATTGGTGAACATGCAGAGAAAAGGAGGAGTCTTGACCATAAACTGTATTTATTGCATATCTGGCAACCCTGATGCCAGGTTTGGCTTTCAGCAAGACGCAACAATCAGTTCAGTGTGAAGCATGAAGACAGCTCCATCCAAACGATGAATACATGAACGTTTGTTTGGACTGATGATGAGGATGATGCTGAGGAAGGTGAGCAGCACCAACATCCCTCTGCTGACCACCATAGCTACTGTTCTTCATCTACTGACAGAAAAACTACAGACTGCAGCTTATTCTTTTCGTGTTTTCATTTTGTGTTTATTTTTGTGACATAGTTTTGTTAACATTTTTTTAATGAGCATTTTCAATAAGTCTTTCAAAATATGTGTTTCTCACTCTATGTATGGTTTTTATTTGTTGTTATTGTAATTCTCATTTTAATGTATGAAATTGTATGAATGTTTGTATCTGGCATTTGTTTTATGGGACAATGCACAACAACAATTTCCAAAGAATAAACAGCAAGGTTGTTGCTTCTCTCGTTCTGTCTTAAACTTTCTCTGATGGCTCAGAAACCACTAAGACACACGTCTGGTCCTGAATGGTCCTGGCTGGTTCTGACTGCTGAGCTGTTCTCAGTAAATCACTCAGTCAGTGGGACCAACCACACTCCATTAGTTTTATGGAACAACCAATTAGCCACAGTAAATCCAGAGGTGCTTAATGGACCCTGTGATGCTGCCTATGAGAAGATTTGTGATGTGACAGGACAGTAGAGGAATACAGGAGCTGTTCTGTGGGGGTCCAGCCAAACCATCAGAGTCTTTGGGTGTATTCACACCAGGAAAGTCCTTCGGTCCACTTATTTGGTCCYAACCAAATAGCAGACTTTATTTTCTTCCTTTGGCGTGGTTTGCATTCACATTGCGCTTTTTGCAAGTGGACTATAATTTACAAACAAAGCCACTCAGGTGATGGTCATTGATGGACAGAGCACAGACCCGGAATTAAAGATGTTAAAACAACTGACTATTAAGAATATCAAGAGCAGCTCATTCAGTGGGGTTTTGTGATGATATATTTATAAATGTGGGACAGTGTTGTCAAATGTGTGACACAACCTAAAGGAGACAAGATGCTCCGCGTTCCCTGACCCACAACGGCTCATTATTTGAGGTGTAGTGTTAGCGTTAGCAACACGAATTAGCTACGGTAGCCTATGAAGTACAAAAAGTCGCATGTTTCCTGTAGTTGGTTTGGTTCGAAGCCAGTCTGTATTCACACCAGAAGTGAACCGCACCAGAGTTCATTTGGAAGCGGACTGAGACCACCTCCAAAATGGGTCTCGGTCCGGATGTTTGATCCACACCAGGGTTCGCATGATTGTATTCACACTTATAAAAAAGGTTTGGACCAAGAGGGGAAACGAACTCTGGTCCATTTAAAGCAGACCAAACGTGTCAGGTGTGAATACACTTTTTGTTTCAGCCACTGATCTTCCAGGACCAGCAGGTGGAGCAGGTCTTGTACCTCAGCACAGAGATGAACACAAACCTGTCTTTCTCYCATCATGACTCAAACATCTTCAGCTGCTGAGGAAACTAAATATCTGTCTGCCAGCAGGAGCACACTGACCTATTTATACATCCTGACTGAGCCTATTTTAACTTTCAACATCTCATTCTGATTCAGCTTTCTAATGAAAAACAGTCAAATGACATACAACATTTAAACAATGAAGTGCAGTGACTGGCTCATATCCTTTATACTACAGAGATTCTTAACCTATGGGCCGTGGCCCGAGCGCCACCTTGAGGGCCTCAAAAGAACAACAGTTTTTAACTTTGGGCCGCAGGGGGCCGTGGGACTGCATTGATTTTGAATATGGTGCAATACACTTTCTCACCACTAGTAGCAGTAGTGCGCCACTCATTTGTTTAACAGATCTGCCGAGAATGGAAATCTATTTTAAATGAAAAGTAGAAGCAAAAATGAAGGTAACCCATCAAAACATGTAKAAGTTTGTCACTATTATGAAGTGCAGCTTCTGTTTTTACCATGCAAGAATTTAAAGGTTCAAAACATTATCAAATACATTTGCAGATACAACTAGATTTTAATTTGCACTTTATCAAAAATAATTTCTGTATTTTATTTTTAAGCATTTTGTCAAAAAGCTGTTGTTACTGTTATTGTTTGTCACTAATATGAACAGCAGCTTCTGTTTCTACCATGCGAAAGTTTAAAAAGGCTTTATTTTTATTTGCACTTTATCAATTTTATTTTATTTTTTTCATTTTTTTATTTGGAACATTTACGTTAAATATTTTTGAATGTATTTATTTCATGATAACAATTTTATTTATTGAATTGTCTATTTTTACAGTTTTTTATGCTAAAAAAATGTTATTTTTGTCTGTGATGGACTTGCGACCTGTCCAGGGTGTACCCCGCCCCTCGCACTGTGACTGCTGGATATGGGCACCAGTGACCCACGTGACCCTGGAAAAAGAAAGAAGCGTGTACAGAAAATGGATGGATGGGTTATTTTTGTGTTGATAAGCCTGAGAGGTCTGTTGACTGACCGTTGTATTTGTTCAAAAAATTGTTGTGGGTAGTTTACAATACAAAAAAATGTTTGTCATAATCATGTCTTGTAATTATTTGACAGGAGTTTTACTTTTAAACTATGTGTATTTAATTTAGTTATAATGCAAATACAATACAAATTAAACCAAGATTTAGAATAATTATCATTTTAAACCAGGATTTAGAATAATTATCATTTTGATCCATGTGTGACTGGGCCTCATGTCACTTTATGTTGAACAAATTGGGCCCCGAGGTCAAAAAGGTTAAGAACCCCTGATTTATACAACTTTTGTCACATCCTTCTATCAAACGTTCTACAAAGACCTGCTGGTCTGGAAGAATATTTACTATAAATCATTTTTATCAACTGCAGCAATGTTTTTAGTCAAAACTAAATAGACATACTGTAGCTRAAAGTGGTGATATAATGATGAGTTATAATGGTGTGCTTTTTAAACTTTTGTACTTTTGTTTGAAGCTGAAATGCAAAAGAGCGTGTCAAAGAAGAATTTTGCCACAGTTTTTTTTTATCTTAACTTATCTGAACTGTATTTGGAACTCTGGTGTGTTAAATCTGATCTGATCGCTGATCCGGACTGAAAGTTGGTCAGATTGAAGCCTCTCCTCATCCTCATCCCATCCTTCCTCCTCTCAGCGGGAAGACAAATCTGCTCAACCTCTCTGCTCCTGTGAGGGATGCTCCTTCATGGATCAGTGCCTTCTGAAGTGGACCCCGTGTGCAACAGGGAGACCGGCAGCGGAACGGAATGACACCCGGACATTTTGCCCCACCTGGAAATATCCTAGAAGCAGACCCCCTCCCCGTCCCACCCCCCCCAGCTCTGTTCTTTAATGAGAACCAGCAGAAAGCAGCTGGGGCTCTGGAGATTTCCCTGCTGACTGCCTGAGGGTCACCACTGCTCTGGGACCACGCTGAGGTAAAAAAGAAAACACAGATTCAGTTCTACTTTCAGATGTTAACTTTTGTTGTTGTTCTCTGAAAAAAGTCTTCTGTGTCTGTTGCTGAAGTGTCAAAAACAAAAAACTTTGGGGACTTTGGTGGTCCTACCTCTTCACTGACTTCCGACCTGCTGTTGCTTATAGATAAAAACTGATATAAAATAAGAACTGATCAGTACTCTTTAGTTAAATCTCAGAGCAGTTTTAAATATGGCCGACCACGTGATACTTCTGAGTACCTCTAACAAATAATGTAAAAATGACCTGCCTAAATGGATTATTTGTTCGAGAAAGATATGTTACTTTTTATTTTGTTTTGTTACATAAGGATTATTATTGTTTGGATTAATTTGAAGAAAAGGCACAGATATTATAAGATTTTCTCCTCTTTCTGCTGCCTTTCATTTTATTTAATTAGTATTTGTATATTTTTTTTGTTGTATATAAAATTTGCTTTGTTTTTTTAATATGAAACGAATAAATCAAACCAAACCAATAATTAATTTCATTGTTATGAAAAAATGAACAGTTCTATTTGTTCTTGTGTTTTGAAAACTACACATCTGTTAGTTTCATTTCAAACTGGATTAAAGAGTTGAATAATGAATGATTTTTTATCTGTCTTTCGTTAAATGACAGAATCTCTGAGATTCGTACGTTTCATCCTCCAAACATCTCTCTGCTGAGCCAACATTCCTCTTGGAGATGATATTAAACCTGCCGGGAATCCAGGTGTCAGTTAAAATCTGATAAACAGATTATTTTTGAAGAAAGGAGCTGCTTTTCTTTTTATAACAGCTCCAAAATATCCTTCAGCTCAAACCCTACCTCTCAAACAACAAACTAAAGGCAGCTATCAGCAATAATCCCCTCCAGGTTGGATTACGGTTTTTTGGAACAGGCTCTGCAGCCAGACTCCTGCTGGGAGAGGAGCCAGCATCACTCATGTTAACATCTCCTCTCCGGCTTTTAGTTAACTATAGGGTTGGTTWAAAATGATTCAGGTTGTTGAGCTCTAGATTAGTCAGTGAGGTTCATTTACAGAACGACTGGCCTTGGTCAGTTCTGGTTCAGGTTTCCTGTCCTTCCTGTGTGTTGACTCATGATGATCAGTGAAGACTGTTCAGTAATATTATTGAATTGAACTGTTTCTAATTATTTGTATTTATGAACTGAATGTACTTCTACATAGAGCGGACTAAGAGGACGTATGTGTTTTTAAATAAATTAAACTAAATGTTTTAAAACTCAGCTTGAGACACTGTTTGTGCAGTGGTTTGACATTTAAATAATTAGATATTTATTTATTTTCACTTAGTTTTAGTTAAAGGTTTATAATTTATTTTCTGTATGAATTGATTTAATGTTTTATGAACTTATTGTTTAAATTCTTTGTCAGCTTTAGTTGTTTGAAATGGTCTGTATAACTAAAGTTAATTGGATTTGCATTAAATATATTATAACCCTAAAAGTTCTAAAAACGTAGGTTTTTTTACTTCAAGAAGTGAAAACACCAACGTTTTCAAATAGCAGAAGCAGCTGATGTGAATCACAGTGAAATCAGATCTACAATTTCCTCATAGACCCCCGGAGAACAGCTGAGACCCTCACATGTCTGTCATTAATGCGCAAACAGTCACTTCTCAGCAGCAGTTTGCTAATTGTCAGCTTCCTCTCATGCTGGCAGTGTTTCCCTCTCTCTAAGTGAGATTATTTGCTCCATGACCTCACGTGTCCTGCTGTTCTTTTAGAAAACACAGTAAAGGTTTAACACATCACAGAGATCAGTAGATTAAAATCTGAAACATGTCTGGGCAGACCCGGAAATCTCCACTGTCTGTCAAGACCCTGTCACTCTAGACAACGTATGTCAACTTATGAAACATTTTATTTATTTGATCACTTTGTTCGAGTTACGTACAAAGAAGCTTCCTGTTGATTTTTTTTTCAGTTCCGTCTTCAATGTAGATGTCTTTAAAAGGTTCATAAGTTCATAACTGTTAGCAACGTCTGAGGCAGCACCAGCTACAGCCTGGATCAAGTGCTTCCCCAGTCAAAGGTAGACAGCGAGGTGTCCAAATGCTTGATTGGAGCTCTGCATCCTGGGGGAGGAGCCAAACCCTCTTCATCTAAATACAGTTTATCAGGCATAAGAATGGCAGATAAGTGCCTATCAACCTACTAGGAGGTACAGGGGAAGTCTGAAGCCAGTATATGAGACTGATCATTACTAATAACAGCCATTTAATGGGTTGATAACATTTAAAGCAGGTGTCTGTGATTTATTTTTGAATACAAATTTAGACAATTGAAAGAACAACCTCATGTTTTTTGAAGGGATTGTAAAGAGAAACTGCTCTCAGAGGTCAGTGGCWATGAGTACCCACCACATGTCCAGGCAGGTGGAGTAGTCAGTGGATCCCAGCAGAACATCTGGAGGCCGGTACCACAGGGTCACCACCTCGTTAGAGTAGGTATGGCTGGGGACGGATTTGGCCCTCGCGAGGCCTAGGAGGAAAGAGTCAGACACACGATGAGTAAGAATCAGAGAACATTTGATGTTTTTAATAATCAACAACGAGTAGAAGAGAAGCAGATCCATTGCAGCTGCCAACATCTGGTAATGAAAACAATAATATCCAAATACACTGCACTCTCCAGCAGAACCTTGCTGATGTCGACTAACTAACAAATGTTTTCCTGGTATTTTCCACATCCCTGAGATGCTAGGATGCAGCTCAGCACAAGAACAGAAGTTCTAAACTTTTTTAAACAAGTACCGTCTTAGAAAATACTAAGGTCTCCAAGTATTACCACAGACAATACAAGCTTCCACTCACACCAAACACAAACAAGCAAACTGACTAAACTTTATCTTAACTCTGATTCAAGGATTTGGTCCTGGTTGTTTTCAGCCTCAGTTTAAAATGTCTTGAATGAAATTTCTTGTGTTTTGTATGTTTTGTTACCAGCTGGTTCCACTCCTGTTTTCAAAGGGGTACTTGAAATGCTTTGTTGTACATCACAGTTCAGCGTATGATAGTTAATTACCTTGTTGTTTAATTTGTAAAGGTTTATATAGCTGAGTACCACCAGTCATACTAGTACCACAGTTTGAGAAGATCACAGGTATTCACATGTGATGGACTGTATCTTCACCTTTAACACAACTACAGTAGCAGCTGAGACACAAGGTCAGCTCATCCAGTCCTGTTTCAAATCTTTGATGGATAAGTTACGCATTCATGCCCAACATCATGGAAACAATCTCCCATGCTCTGCCCAGGACCCCCATTCTCTGTCATCATGATGGTAAATTATCACAACTTCACTTAAAAAGTTCATTCAAAACCATCATGGACCAATCATACTCCATCACACATTATGAAGAGCCCACTGTATTCTAACTGTACACCCAAAGACCTCACCAAACCCTATAAAACCATCTGCATCTGATCAATTTCATCATCTGAACTAACACAAAATAAAACAATATAAAATGAGATTATGTACAAGTGAAGATTAAGTCACTGTTGTACGATTTCCCTGWTAATAATCCAGTGAATGTAACATTTACAGAAGTTAAAGTTTCAGGCCGCACTCAGTTTATTCAATTTAAATCSCATTCCTCAAGTTTGTTTCCCYATGTTGCAGGTGCCRCAYGGTTCTGTATTAGGGCCCCTTTTARTTATTATTTAMTTGCTCCCTCTTGYCAACCTATTCTGTAAARACAACATCAATTTCCATTGTTACGCAGACGGCAACCAGCTCTACATTTCCTCAAAACCTAATTAATCTCTTCCACTTTCCTCCCTTACAACAGACTTTCTTACGGACATACAGTGGTTTGCAAAAGTATTCATACCCCTTGAACTTTTCCATATTTTGTCACATTACAACCACAAACATAAATATATTTCAC